CAACCATGCGAAAATTCAAAAAATCATAAACTCAATCTTTCCTAAAAATTATTTTTCCAAATAATTTCCCAGGTAGCAAGAAATAAAACAAGACTTTTGTCATTATTGATGTGAGTAGATTTGTCCTGAATGACATTAATGACACTTTTTGTGTGAAAAAAAATTTGAACGTATTTTGAGAACAAATTTTTTTGTTTTTGAGTTATGCGATTTTTTTGGCAAAACTGCAATTAATATAAAAAAAAAATTAAAAAATTAAACATAAAGTAGATAGTTGTATTCCTTAGATAGTAACCTTCATGAGAAAAATGGTTTTATAGWGAGTTGTCATTTAAACATCAATTTTTTGTGGAATTCAAAAACAAAATAAAATTTCAAAAAATTTTATTCTTAATAAAACATGACAATTAGTTTTTCCATAAAATAAATAGTTTAAGCAAAAAACTTCTGATTCAGCTGGTATAAAAAATTCCTGAAAATGCTCATTTTCATTTCAGTGTTTTACAGATTTTGCTTCCCATTTTGGCTCTATTTTACAACCTAAATAAATAAATTATTATTAGAACAGGGAAAAGTCCCACAACTTTCTAATATGAATCATTATTCGCTACACGATTTTCTCTATTTTCAAATCCACTCTGTATAAAAATATAATGACTATTTCTCATCTGTACAACTTCCTTTGCACATTTTCTAATCACTGGTAATAATATTACTGAAAGTTTTCTTTCAATAATTATCATGTCTTCAGGTTGATGGCATTTATTACAAAAGCATGCTAAAAATCCTTCATGGTACAGTGGCAAAAGTAAAAGTTCCGTAAACTCCGAATTTTGATTAAATTTTCTCTTTTAATTTCGACCAAACTGAAATTCACTTTCATTGTGCAATTCCCGTCTGTCGTTGCTCAACATAGGAGAAATTTCCGAACTTTTTGTGAATGTAATTCCGCCGTCGTGGTGACTAATTTAACTCGCGACACAAAGAAAATGCTCAAAAGTGAAATACCTTGAAACATCCTCCCATGTAGAGGGTGTCAGGTGGCCCGAAAATAGCCACTTCCCATTCGAAAAGATTGTCTTCGTTGACAAGTTTGACGCAGAAGCCTTCAACGGGCTCCTCCTGGAGACTCTTGTACTCGACTGCGAGGGCTCGAAGGGCGCTGCTCGTGGCCTTCGTCGTTGCCATTTTCTCACAATCACACGATTGTCCGTTTGGGAAATTCAACGCAATTCGACGTTGTGTCCACTCTACGACGCCATTAAACACTAAACCAAAATAAACCCGAGCTGGACTTCACGACTGGGGCGACTTTTCACGCAATTTCCTTCGGGAAATTCTACCACTGGCACGTCACTTCCACTCTAGCACCACTTCCACGGGCCCAATCACCAGCTCTCCTGGGATGGAATAATAAAGGACTTGCAACTTGGACAAAACAGCTGGTAATTTGGCAGTTGTGCGCAGGCGTGCGACCATTGCAACGTTTTCATTGGTTCATTCYGGCCGTCAACATGCTAGAGTGCGTTCAGAAACAGACGGGTCAAGGTTTTTTGAATTTTTTTATTTATTACTGTTTCCTGAAAAAAACTTTCTGCGACGTTGGAAAGCATAAACAACTCGGTTTTTATAACGGCGCACTATTTTTTTKTTATTAATTGCAATCATCGTGCATAAAAACTAACTCTTCGATTTTATATTATAAGTAGATTAGATTGATTAGGGAGGAACACGAACTAATAATAACGTTTTCAGTGAATTAGTTTTTTTATCATTTGAATGAGTCATGACACAAAAATATTTATCCTCAAAATTAATTTTGTACAATTTTTGGGGTTGATTTGACGTACGAATCCCAAGTTATGGGATGAGTGCGCCAATGCCATTATAATACGAGTATTTTTTCTAATTTGCGCCCCTAGAGAATTTTGTGTTAGTTGGTATCGGTTGGTAACACTCGGCGCCCACCTGTTTTTTTGAGTCATTTCTGCCGTCTGTCATTAAAAATAAAATTTACAAATRATTAGTTATTAGTGTTACAACATAATAATAATAAATAAAATGTGAGAAACAGAATTTAGTTTGTATTCCGCCCGAAATTCGCCAAWTTGCCGAAGCTACAACGCAAAATTTGTTACCTGACAAGTCAGAAGCGGTATCCAAAAACTAAATAACCCTAAATTCATTAAAGTACAGTGTGCTTTTATAGATAGCCATAAACGACTCCTACTCGAGACGTTAATAAACGTATTATAAACGCAAATTAGAAAAAATAAATTTTCAATTGTTTCATTTTTTGTACTGAGCGCCATTTTCTCACAGCCAAATTTCGTCCCGCGAAATTTAAAAATGACATTGCACGCTATGATTTTACTAATTATTCCACTTTTTTAGCCTTAAATCTTTAATAAATGTTGAGTGTTCACCGATTTTTGGTGGATTAATTCAAATATTTGTTAAAAGCGCCTTTTTCTTCGTTGTTTACACTGCTACATTTCTCTCGGCAAATGTAGGGGGAGTTCTAGTGCAGCTCCTCTCATTTCTCCCCAGAGAATGTTTATTTTTTTTTAAGATGCTAAACTACATTTCGAGATGTTCATTTCGCCGTTTCCCCATTCCTGGTCGTGTTTGCAGCAGCAAATTCTCCTTGATGTGCCAATGCCCGGCCTATTTTCGCTTTTCGAAACTAACCTCAAACTTGACGATAAGACAGGATGTTTGTCGTCGCAACTCTTCCGAAAGTGGCCCCCCGTCCAACAAACTGCCACCACTCATGGAATTTCCGAAAATAACGTGGCCTTCATTAATAAAGTCGATTAGGAATTTCATTTTGGCCACCTTCATCATAAAGCCCTACTTGGACCGAGACTTCAACTTGCCCGATTTCGTCGTCGGATCGAAAAAGGCTGTGGAGGTTTGTAGCGTTTGAATGGTATGATTTGCTGGAGTTTCTTTGCTAACGTACAAAATTGGAATTTTATTTTAGGTGGTGTCGAAAAAGATTGCTGAGGGGGATGTTAAAGCCTTGGAGGGGTTAGTCACCGAGGATATATTGCCCACTTTGCAAAGGGCGGTGACCCTCATGTCGCTGTCGCAGAGAGAGCAAATTGCTGTGGAAATCGACGACATATATTTTAGTTTTCCATACCAGGTGTGTTGGYGTTTGTGCTTGAYGCTGTGAGAATTGCTTATTTTTCAGATAGGAGTTATGTTTAATGAAGACAATGATCAAAAGAGGTTCGTGGAAATTACAATGGTTTTTCATGCCCTTAAAGGGTTAGCACTGATGAAGTCACGTGGGGAGGAGCCGCCCTTGAACATGGGCATGTTGCCTGAATACCAGCACCGTATTTCCATATGCAACTATCGATTCATTAAGGAATTTACCAAAGGAGTTGAAAGTGACTGGACCGTTAATTTACTCAATCATTTTAAACCAATTGATGAAGTGCAAGAATAAATAATCTGTTAGTTAAATGGTTTTTTATCCATTTACCCCAAAAATGTACAAATAAAACGTTTCAACAGTAAAATACAGATTTATACTTTTAAAAAAGCTTCAGCACAACTTATTTTTTTCAACAAAAATAATTTTATGTAAGGTGAAACAGAAGGTCTAATTGATAATTTCTTTTGAAGTTTGGCATAAAAGTATTTTATGGATAAATAATACAGGGTGATTCTTAAATAGACCGACAAAATTTTATCCTTCGTAGTATCAAATGAGAACATGCAGGAAAAAATATTTAAAAAATTCTTTGTTTAAACGTTCTTCAAATAAAATTTATTTTCCAAGTAAAGCGTACGCCACTGATGTGTTAGCACAGGTAGTGGTAACCATGGTATTAACGTACTTGACTATTGCAACAATTCATAAACGCCGTAAGTGGCACGGATCAAGGGGGTTTTGCCCCTAAAAGGTATAAACGTAAAAATGGTACAGTTTGTTTCCATTTATCCTTAGGAAGCTGTGATACAATTTTGTCGGTCTATTTAAGAATCATCATGTATAGAAAGAATGGTGAAATTCTTAGGTTGGCAGCAGTTTTAAACAATCGAATTGTCAACYTTTGCTTACGATTCTTCGTTTTGTGAAAAATGTTAAAATACATTCAAGCAACTAAAGACGAAAATTATTATTTCTTTTAATTATTATTTGATGCATTGTGGACACGGAATTTTGGACATCAAAATATCAGTTCAAAAAATGTTAAAAATGTCAATAATGTAAGCCACGCTTTATTGTCATTATGACTGACGTTTGAAACTAAAATTTGAAAGTTTTAGTTAAAATTTATTTTTGGCGTCGATTTTCGGAAACAATGCTAGCAATACGTGTTTTTATATAAGTTCAATAAATTATTTTGATTTGTTGTCATTTTTTTCTCTAGCTGTCAGGATAAAAATTACAAAAACCGAAAGTGAGGTTAGTTGCATAAGGCCCGTTTTACATTTTTTCATGTCAGTCGAATGACAAATCGTCCAAAATTCCTTGTCCGCAATTGTACTAATGTCTGTGCTAATGTTTTTTCTTGTTTTTTTTTCAGTCGCAGAGAAAGTTGGTTGTTTAAGTAATTTCATACGAGTATCTATTAAACCCAAAACAAAAAATCCAAGATATCAATTTCTCAGTGTCTAATTTTTGGTGATTTTAATGCTTTTTATTATTGACTCGCTGGCTATCAGGGGGTACTGTCACTGTCTGTGGCAGAAGAATATAATTTTTAAAACAAATTTTATAAATAGAAATAATATTTGAAGTACCAATTAATGTTTGAAGAGAATTCATATTAAACAATTAATTTGCAAAGTATTTCATAATAATTTTGATTCTCAGAACATGAAATCATTCGTTTACTTTTGTACCATTTTTTACTCTCAACTGTACAAAATGTACAGTGGGGACACGAAAAACTGGGCAGATGTGWCATTTAGTTGTCAAAATTTCAAAACTATACCTTAGGTACTCATAACCAAGCTTTTAATGTTTGGCATATTTGTCTTTTTGACACTGACAAAGTCAAAGATTTCGGTCAAAGTCAAAGTGACCGAGACATCCCACTTTCAATAAGAGCTATTGCTTGAGATTTATTAAAAACTGATACAACTGGCATTTTGTAAAAATTAATGTATGTCAAAGTTAATTTGACAGTTTTTTAAAATATCAATCATAATGACGGTAAAGGTGCATTTACYTTGACACTTTTTGAAATGACAATAAAAGARTGCCCAGGATTCCGTGTCCCCAACTGTACAGGGTGCTGCATTTTGGATGTCCGAATAGGGAATCTCCGAAACTAAAAGGTTTAGCCAAAAACGAGTGATACATTCTGAGGCTCATTTTTTGAGAAAATAATATTGGTTAAAACCGCATCCCGCTATCGTCTTTTGTTTTCGACTTACAGACAAAAGTTGACATTTTGGCGAAATCTAAAAAAATTCATATCTTCGTTATTATAGAAGACACAGATTTGAAATAAAGACATTATACAGGTACTTTTTTACGTAGAATTTAATAATGTAGTTAACAAGTTTTTTCAGTTATTAGTTTAGCCATAATAAGATAAACTTGTATTTTTTTAAATGGAAATAATAGGCGGCTATGGCAATTTTAAAAAGCTTATTCTAAAAAATAATATCTAAAAAATATATATTTGTAACAAAATATTTTTTTATAACTATACTTAAAAAGTAAAATACATATTTTGTGTGATAATAGTTGGCCATGGAAAAACTATTTCACTCCAAATGTGTAAATAATAATCAATAAGAGTTTTGTGAACTGTAAAATAGATGAAAAAATAGATAAAATTATAAAGATTTAAAAAATACGATACGGTAGAAGCATTGAACAAATATCCGAGCGCCTCAGAACAAAATTATTACATATTTTTAAAAAATCAAAAAATTGGAAAAACAAATGTGTCAACAGTCAACACAATTAGAAAAAACATTTTTCTGATGATCTAATGGAGGTAGGATAACGTTTCACATAGATGGAATTTGGGTATTTGAATAGCCATATCGTCATTTTTGTGTCATATAAAATATATTTTATTGAAGAATTAAAGCGGCTTTTTTTTACAACACTCTATGTATCACTAGAAGTTGCAATGGTAATGTTAGCTTGTTTAAAAACAAAGAAATGTTATTAGTCGCCAATAAGTTGATTTACAATTTATTTTGCATTTTTTTCATTACTTAGTACTNCGTGTCCCCAACTGTACAGGGTGCTGCATTTTGGATGTCCGAATAGGGAATCTCCGAAACTAAAAGGTTTAGCCAAAAACGAGTGATACATTCTGAGGCTCATTTTTTGAGAAAATAATATTGGTTAAAACCGCATCCCGCTATCGTCTTTTGTTTTCGACTTACAGACAAAAGTTGACATTTTGGCGAAATCTAAAAAAATTCATATCTTCGTTATTATAGAAGACACAGATTTGAAATAAAGACATTATACAGGTACTTTTTTACGTAGAATTTAATAATGTAGTTAACAAGTTTTTTCAGTTATTAGTTTAGCCATAATAAGATAAACTTGTATTTTTTTAAATGGAAATAATAGGCGGCTATGGCAATTTTAAAAAGCTTATTCTAAAAAATAATATCTAAAAAATATATATTTGTAACAAAATATTTTTTTATAACTATACTTAAAAAGTAAAATACATATTTTGTGTGATAATAGTTGGCCATGGAAAAACTATTTCACTCCAAATGTGTAAATAATAATCAATAAGAGTTTTGTGAACTGTAAAATAGATGAAAAAATAGATAAAATTATAAAGATTTAAAAAATACGATACGGTAGAAGCATTGAACAAATATCCGAGCGCCTCAGAACAAAATTATTACATATTTTTAAAAAATCAAAAAATTGGAAAAACAAATGTGTCAACAGTCAACACAATTAGAAAAAACATTTTTCTGATGATCTAATGGAGGTAGGATAACGTTTCACATAGATGGAATTTGGGTATTTGAATAGCCATATCGTCATTTTTGTGTCATATAAAATATATTTTATTGAAGAATTAAAGCGGCTTTTTTTTACAACACTCTATGTATCACTAGAAGTTGCAATGGTAATGTTAGCTTGTTTAAAAACAAAGAAATGTTATTAGTCGCCAATAAGTTGATTTACAATTTATTTTGCATTTTTTTCATTACTTAGTACTTAGAAAACTCTTTCATTAGTGACACTGGTTGAATATAATTTAGTTTAAATCCTTTTAGTTGAAGATGCAACATTTTTTCATGGCGAACTGCGAACAAAAATCAAAGATAATTTTTTGCTAAAAATGTATTATAATAATTTGTTATAAATATATATTTTTTAGATAAGAAAAAAACAAGCTTTTTAAAAATGACAGCCATCTATGATTCCCATTTCAAAAAATACAAGTTTATTTTATTACGGCTAAATTTTAGGAAAAAAAAAGTGCAAAAACTAACGAAAATTGCGATTTTTATGTCAAAATTATTTAATTAAATTAATAAATCAAAAAAATACAAATAGAAATAAAAATAGTAGCAACGGCACGCGGTGTTCCCAAGCGGTCACCCATCCAAGTACTGACCGCGCCCGACGTTGCTTAACTTCGGTGATCAGACGAGAACCGGTGGCTTTCAACGTGGTATGGCCGTTGCCATAAGAATATCTCGTGTTCTAAAGACATAAACATAAACTTTTTTTATTTTTTGAATTTAAATTTTTCACATTGTTTTAAAACAAAAACAAGGACAATTTTTTTTGAAAAATTTCAACTGGTAAATGTTTAAAAGTTAATTTTCCACTTTTGGTTACGTGATTAAAATTAAGTTATGCAGTTGTAGTAGCTGCGGTGTATAGTTGGTTGCCTGAGCATCATTAATAAATAACCAACATTTCGTTATATTTTAAATATAATAAATCATAGTTGTAAAATAATAACGTAAACCGATCAAATAAATACATAAAACAAGAATAAGTCAATGTTGTAAAAAAATCTAAAAATATTTAGTAACATGATAATTTGCTCGAAACGAGCCGGTGGCTGCACTGTCGCCCCATGTCTGCCAGTGTGATTATTATTATTTATTGTTGTTTTGTTTACTGCTCGATTCGGTTTAAAATTAGTTCCGTAAAAGTCAGTAACCGAGGTCGACTAGTGACATTGTTGTAGTGGCAACAGCACAACAGCAGCACCACCACCACCCCAGATGTGCGAATCGTCGAGAATGACAGGTCGGTCGAGGTCGACGTTTCTGTACGTCTTGGAAATGTTGTTGTGATTGCGAATTCGCCCCCAAACCTTGCTCCGGAGTCGGAAAACCATCCTCGACCCAATCGAAAAAACCGCTAACYAAGATATCGACTGAACGCGACCGTGAATATCGCGCCGCGCAGTGTAGTGAGTGACAGTGAGCAAATGTTTAGCAATCATGGCGAATCCGAGGAAGTTCAGCGAGAAAATAGCGCTCCATACCCATCGGCAGGCCGAGGAAACGGCCCGATTCGAGCAGATCATGAAAGAGGTGTCCGATGCGACGGCCAGGGTACGTAATTGCCATTTATAACCTCTTTGGAGCGWTGTCGCGATACGCCGTAAACAATGAAATCTGTGATAAAAACAGTGAGGTGGCCCCCTGCATGCCAAGGGGCTGATAACACACAGAGTGCTATGAAAACAATCGATACACTTTTTGACAGAAACAACGACAAATTAACGCTGTTTTCAGGTTAACTGAGGAATCAATGTTTACAGCTGTTTTTACTTTTTACGACGCTTAATCGAAACGTACGCAGATAACGAATTGCTGTAAACAGCCAATTATACAAATTAAATCACTGATTTATTACACTTTATTTATTTATATTAGATAGACGAGAGAAGAAGCATGAGTTTAGCAAATTCACCTGTAATTGCCAAAATTGACTTTATTCATTATTGTAAATGTTGCTGCGTTTCATTAGTTTTATTAGAAGATACCGTATGATCAAATAAAGGGGTCATCTCAGTCGACTGTGAAAAACAAATTTCTGAGCTGTCACTATTTGACTAACTAATTTTAATTTTTATCTGTTAGTTAGAACTTAATATTTAGCTTTTATTTTTAAAAGTTGGATAACATAATTCAAGTACTGTCACTTCTTTGGACAGCTGTTGTTGCAAAAAGTGTTTGTATAAATTTCCAATACGTACACTGGCGGACACGGGATTTTGGACATCAGTTCAAAAAATGTCAATGTCATTATGATTGACGTTTGAAACTAAAATTTGAAAGTTTTAGTTGTTTGGCGTCGATTTTCCGAAACAATAATYCCAGCAATACGTATTTTTATGTAAGTTCAATAAATTATTTAGATTTTTTGTCGTCGTTTTTTCTCTAGCTATTAGGATAAAAATTACAAAAACCGAAAGTGAGGTTAGTTGCCTAAGGCTCGTTTTACATTTTTATGTCACTGGAATGARAAATTGTCCAAAATTCCGTGTCCGCCAGTGTATGTCTCGACTAGTAACTTACCTGTCAGTTAACTGTCAAATTTACCAATTTTTGAACGTGTCTTGCGTTAAATTTCAACTAAAATTAATTTTTTCAAGAAAAAAGCATCATTACAATGATAGCTTCAATGATTTGTCATTTGATTAAGTGTAACAGTCTATACACGACATATGTTTATACAATTTTCAGAACACTCTTCAAATTAATGTTTTCAAAAAATGCATTTTTGTGTCTAAAAATACCGAATTTACTCAATGATATGCAGAGATTGACGTCACATTGTTTTTTTTCTTGTTTTCAAATTTGAATATTTTGTCTCTAGACATCAAAATTTGAAACATTTGTCAACAGTGTCTGAAATGTAGAGATAAAGAAAACAGGGTGTGTCATAACTRGCGCCCCAGAGAAAAATTTCAACTGATAATATACCAGGAACATGGAAAAATGTTTAAATAAATTTTTTTGTCAAAAAATTTTGACATTTATGTTTTGACATTTGACATTTTTTTATGTCTATTTCATGACCTTGTATATGTTTTTTTATAATTATTTAGTAAATGTACAAAAATGTTGCCAATAAAAGTCACAAATAACATTAAAGAGAGTTACAATTTAGGATCCAGTTTCCTTGTTTCCTCTTCTAATAGCCCGTAAAAAAAACTTGGAAAATTATTTTTTCCATAGAAATAGAGTCAAAGTGCAATATTTAAACTCTCATAACTTCGAGATTTTTATAGAGATTTTTTCCATATGTTTCTGGTATCTTACCTTTTATGGCATTTTTCTCTGGGGCGCGAATTCTGGTGCACCCCTGTATAAGACTGGCTAAAAATTTAAAAATTTTACTTTGTATACTCTGTTGCAAATCTAAAAAATAGCCTTTTTTATGTTTTTCAATTATTTTTAAATAAAGGATTTCCTTAGTCCTACTTTTTTGACTCTTTTTTCGAACTTCATTTAAAAAATATGAACGCCTTATTCTTATTAAGGTGATTTCTTTTGTAGTTACTTTAAAAAATAAAACAGTGGAAGCTTACAATGTAAAAAAAAGTTTTTATAACGTTTATTAACCGGTACTGTAAACTTTTTTTATTAAAATTATCATGAATGTTTGACATTTTCGTTAAAAAAAACAGACTTTATAAATTAAAAAAAAAATGAGAAAACACTGCGGCTTTGCAACGTTATGAGGAAAAATATTCTTAGCTAGAAATAAAAAGCGATAAAAGAGTTGATTCAAAAATGCAATTTGCGTTTTTTTGCATAGGTAACTTTAAACTTTTTGAAAATAAAATTTCAACGTAAACAGGTGAAATAATAATTTCACAATTTTAAAGAAAAATTGAGATAACACATTGGCTTTGTAACGTTATGAGGAAAAATATTCTTAGTTAGAAATAAAAAGCGATAAAAGTGTTGATTTGAAATGCAATTTGCGTTTTTTGCAAAGGTAACTTTAAACTTTTTGAAAATAATGTTTCAACGTAAACAGGTGAAATAATAATAGCGTTGAATTGAATATTTCATGATTTATGGGAATTTTATCGAAATCGATTGATTTTGATATATTGGCATTGATTTCTGGAACAGTCTATATTTCTCTAAATAACTTTAATAAACGCTGTATATAATTAAAATTGACATCGTAGTGGAATATTTATGGTTTATCGACCTTTTTTTGTATATTTACAGCGGGCGACAAACTCAATAAGAAACAAATCAGTTGCCTATTACATATTATTATTAATTACTTCCAGTAATGTTACAATTTTTCGTTAGTTCTTTACTTGTTACACAAGCTTGTGTTTTGATAAAAAGTAACAATGTAATTTGTGTATTTTTTGTGTGAATGCATTGCAAAATAAATTGTGTGTTTGATTGAAAATCAATAAATTCGGGATGTGGATATTGGTGCTGTGTTGTTTTTGTTTTATTTTAGACAAGAGTTTTATCATTTATTTATTTTTTTTTAGTTTATTTACAAACATGGGTCCAATTACAAAGCGTATTTTATTTCGATTTATATTACCGTTTTTCGAGTGGAATATTTTCTATTGTTGTATTTTTACTTTTGCTATTAATATCGTTAATTTGTAAAATAAATGCAACAAGTTTGAGTGCATCTGCAGAATTGGAACCACGTGTGTACTGTAACCTGTGATAACCTTTTTTTTTATTTCACATTAATTTAATTTAAAACAACGAAATTTTATCACTTTTGTAGATATAAAATAAAATTCTTACTAAAAAAATTAATTCAAAATATATAAATAAATGTTCGGTGTTTGTTTTAATTTTTGGTTTTTACTAAATCGGTAATTTTGGATAAGTAAAAAGTGGTGTTTTAAAGATAAAAAAGAGACAATCTAGTTATCGAGTGATAATACCAATTGAACTACAGATTATTATGGTCATGTGGGATTGAATTTGTAAGAGAGGAAGTATCGCACATCCTTGTGAATCATAGTAAAATTATCATTACATTAGTATTTCATTAATTTAATACCACATCCTGTATATATTGTCTTTGATGTGTTTGGGATCTTGAACCAGAATTGTCAGTTTGTGTAAAAATGAGGTATTTAATTATTCCAAATAAAGAATTTTATTACTCATTATTTTACTAACACGAAGGTAAATAAATCAAAAGTAGGTACATTAAAAATAAGTACTTTCTGCCGCAATTTCAGTAAATAAATCATATTTATTATTCAAATGACAACTTGCAAAGTTTTGATTAATCCATCTCACGTGGACGATTTTAATTAAAACTTTGACATTCTTATAGCGAATTCGCGATTATTATCAGATAAAGATGCAATTATAGGATTTAAATTTATTCAATGACATTGGAAGTCAATTTTCAGCTCACGTTTATGGTGACAAATCTGTCATAATTACAACCGACACTGGTTGTTGTTTTTCTCTGATAGTTCTTTTCTATAAATAAATTTTTAAATGCATAATAGGTGAATATTCATTTCCTCAGTTGATTATAAAAAAAATCAATGTTATGGTAGGTTCTGGACGATGTAAAAAATTGAACTAATTTAAATTTATAAAWCGGGTCATGGTCATAATATACTTTGAAATTTTGCATTTACGTGTTTGGATAGATTTAAAAAAATATGTCATAATCTGTCATTGTCACTGTCAGTTTTATATTGAGTTTTATTCACAATAAAATATTGATGATAAGCTCTAGTTTTTGATCTTGACCTACTTTATATCTACATTTGATTATTACTTTACCAAAGTATTTAATTAAATTATCAATAGTAATATTCGATGTTTTTAATATTTGTGTGCTGAGTAGAAAATAATTTCATATTTTTTTAAAGCGGTCAGTGTTCTTACTGTTGGACCCACTAACACCCTGTATAAATAATGTTTTGTACCATAATTTTTAAAATGAGTTTATAGTGTGTTTGAATTAGGAAATAAAATAAGTCTTACACGCATACATAAATTATCTACAAATATATGAAAGACAATTGTCTGTTATTTAATGTACCAGGCGTAGGCGAGCTTTGTAATGAGCAATTATACTACTTTGTTCAGTTGTTGCAACAAAATGATATAAAGGGTAAAATTGTAATAATGTTTTGTCAACATAAGCACTGTTATCGCATTATACGATCATGAATTACTGAACCGACTGCGATTATGAGTCATTACAAGCGTTAGATTACAGTTATTMACGTATAAAAAAATGTAGAACAATAAGTTAAATAGCTACAAATTGTAACGTTTCATGTTTGTAACCATAATAGCACAACTCTTACCTAAAAAGACTAAAATAACGTCAAATATGTGTTTTTTAGTTTTTGAGATGCACCACCCTGTATTTTATTTTTTGTTTATTTAGGTTTTTTGATATTAATTTTTACACATGACAATAGAAAAATATAAATTTACTTTATTAATTAAGTAGATTTTTTCTGTTTTAACATTTTAGTAATTTTTCAAATTTAAATTGCTTGTAATTAGTGGGGTGCTTTCAGGTGGCGCCTGATAGAAGTTCATCTAAAAACACTCTTCGCATCAACACCCAAACATTGGGCACATTTCGGGGCGGTTCTCTCCCTAATGTATCCGCGGGTGTTTCTACTGTCAAGTCCGCTTCCCATAATACAGAATCGACAAAGGTGAATTTTCACCCTAGTTGTTTTGTAGTTATTTTGTTTATTTCATGCACATTTTTTTTTACTATTTTTTAATTACATACGTAATGTATAAGAGAGCTCACTTTATCGAAGCTTATTGCATGCTGTAATTTTTGTGCTTTTCTTTGTGTAAAAATGTCAGTTTCAATTGAATTACAGTTATACAGGGTGATTTTTTTAGAAACGACAGGCGCTGTAGAATTTTTTTTATGGCCCGATTTCAAGAAATTAAATGGCTTTTAATATAGTATAAACTGACAATTTTAGAATTTGTGTYAAAGTCCTAGTACATTTTGAGCTATATTCAACTTTCTAATTTTAAATTATTCTAATTAAATTATATATTTTTCTTAATAATTTTAAAGGTATTAGTTTTCTTGATACAGACATGTGCAATATGTTCTATTTTTGTAAAAATTGTATTATAAAAGTTTGATCTATTAGATCTAGTTGGATGGATTAGTTATAAGAAATAATAATGAAAGAAAATTTTGCCAATCTTTTTCAAATTTTCAATAAGAAATGACAATAATAATTACTTATAACAAATCAGAAAAA